CATAATGTTTTCAAAAATAGATATCATGGTTAGTAGAGGCCGATCTTTGATCCTTCTTGCATGTGTAGTCACGAAGTGACCTTCCCCAATCGTACCCAAGTTCCCGAGCCGAGGCAACTTTGGTGATGACGGACACGTGGCCTTAGGCACGAGTCAGGGTTTCCTAAATTCCCCAAAATAAAATATTTAGGTGGCGACTCTGTATCTGGCAAAGCAGTCCATGTTTGGCACTTCTTTCAAAAAAAATCTGTTTTCTCAAAACGATTTGTCGGATTTGGACTCTTTGGTTCAGATTACGAACCGTGACAATTTGAGAGTCCGAACTGTAGTGAGCCCAATATCGAACGGAACGGGGGACTCGTTCCACCCGGGACGTTCGGGGACGTCTACACAGTCGAGCTAAAATCTTTGAAATGGGATGAAGTCAACTACAGACCACGATGAGGGCACAATGGTATGCTTGTGCTTTCTTGAACTTGATAACTTTGAATGACTTCAGTCAATACCCCTTGAGATTGTAATTTGACTTTAAAATCTTTTTATGCTGTTGGTGTGATCTTCTGTGAAACTGTTGCTATCTATGGTGTAATTGTGATTTAAATCAGTCACTCATATAGGCTTTTTTATAGGATATGCCTACTGAGATTGTAATTTGACATGATTCCTTGTGCTTCCAGTGTGATTTTCTGTGAATCTGTTGCTATATACGGTGTTATTGTGGCAATTATTCTACAAACAAAGTTGGAGAGTGTTCCCCCATCACAAATATATGAACCTGAATCTCTTAGAGCTGGTTATGCTATCTTTGCCTCAGGGATTATTGTGGGTTTTGCAAACCATGTCTGCGGGTTTGTTCCATCTTTTATCTCTTTCCAAAATCACCTAACAAACATATAGCAGTCTCTTCTTCATTTCTGTGAGTTCTAATCTTCGTTTATCAACTTTTGCATGGTACAGGCTGTGTGGGAATTATTGGAAGCAGCTGTGCATTATCTGATGCCCAGAACTCGTCACTTTTTGTGAAATTCTCGTGATTGAAATCTTTGGTAGTGCCCTCGGGTTGTTTGGAGTAATAGTCGGAATAATCATGTCGACTCAAGCAACATGGCCAAACAAATCAGTTTAGTTTGGCTTTTTTTTTTCTTTTTTTCCTTTTGGTCAGTTGGGTGATTCCTGTCACTAGTACCAACAGAACTAATGTACGACATGTTATGTATCTTCTTCTCTATTGGTTTAGTAGTAGGTGATTGAGTTCTGGTCTGAAATGTTCTACTTGTTCCCTTTTTTCTAATTTTAAGCTGTTTTGTTTATGATGGATTATAAATACTGGAAGAGGTGAGGTGAGTTTAGGATATATTTTCATGGCTTATTAATTTAATCTAACTTATTTATATTTTCATGTTGCACCACCCTATGCCTCTACACAAAAAAATTTGTTTTTGAAGGGTGTGTGGAAAGAATTCAAATAATCTCAAGTCAAGAGGGCATCACAAATCACCCACATCAGAAAAATCTATTACACTGATAAGTTAATCTAGAAAAACCAACCATATTCTCTCAAGTAAATTCTTCAATTGCAGTCTATCATTATACATGAATCTATACATGTATAATTCGTAATACATGAATACATACAACTCATGTTCATTATTGGTTACAACACAATGAAAGCAGCAGATGATAAGAAGTTCGAGGGCAATGCTTCTCAAGCAAATGGAACATATTGTCTAAAGTAATATTGAAGGAGCATCGCCAAGGAAGGGCACGCTTCTCTGCAGAAGTATTTGGCATTCCTCTGGCTTTGCTATCATTGGATCAAATGGGTTGCGATCAGAAAGAACTAAACCTTGTTTGATGTGACCCACATACCGAGAATGCAGTACTTGTTTCGAAACAGCTGGAAGCCGTATGGACTGAAATTCTCCGAGCGCAGAATGCAGATTTTCTACTCCACGCTTCTCAAGGCACTTGCCTAAAACTGCTGCGTCTAATATTGCCATGTTTGTGCTCCTTGAGCTGTGCGGGGTTATTGGATGAGCAGCATCTCCAACTAATACAGCATTGTCTCAAACTATTTGTTCTAAAGGATCACAATCATATATGACATTTATGAATGGTTCCTTTGTTTCTTTCATGAGTTTAACCATTTCAGGAACCCAAACGTTCTCTGCTTCTTCGTACATTTCCTTGATCATGTCGCTGCTTACTTTCATGGTCACTGAGTTCCTCTTCATTCACATTTTCCACTAGTCAGTTCAAATTGGTTAAACAAGACCAGAGTCTGCGGATGAAACTTAAGGAATTGTAAAACAAAACCAGAGCTTTGATTGTCGCACCGATCAAACTACTCCCAGTGATGAAAATCCCCCTGAAGACAATATCGCCAAAATCAAGGTGTCAGAAATTTTTTTTAAAAAAATGTAAATAAATATAAAGATTGATATACCAAGCAGCGCCGAGAACAGAGATGCCGATAGCGATGGCGATGCCGAGAGCATAGAAGGTGTACGGTGAGATCTGAAGCATGAGATCTGAAGCATCACCGCGGTGGTTCACGAAGCGTAAGCGGTGGAGCTATGGTCGTCGTGGGGTTACGAGTGGGTTCGCCGTCGGGACTGGTCGCCGGTACGCCGGTGAGGGTGGGTTCAGTGGACGAGCAGCTGAGTGAAACTGAGAGTGTATGTGAATGTATAGTCTGTGAGAGCCGTGTTTTGTTTGGGCGGGAATGGATGAAAATTTCAATTTTTTTTTTTTTTTTAATCCCAGCCGTTGGATGTACAACGGCTCATCTGAGCCGTTGCAAGTAGGATGCGGAGAAGGGGCCTCAAGGAGAGGATCCGGACTCACTATCTTCACCAAAATGTCTTGGCCCAAAACTATGAACATACATTTATATAAAATATAAATAGAAAATATACACTGCGCCCCATGTTTGTATCATACCTAGCTTCTAGTAGCCTCAAAGCTGCGCTCAACGGCTCATGACCAGAGAAGCATTCTGAATCATGTTGGAAGCCACCGAAGGACAGCACGATCTCCTCATGAACCTCAAAGCAGCACTCTCACTTTAGCGAAGACTAGCAATCCAAAACCAAAAACAGCTCGGAGCCACGAGCAGTTTTCTGCGCTGATTTTCAGCCGTACCAGCAACGACTAGCCTGTATCGCCCTGTGTATCCGATTCAGGCCGCTACGTACCGGGACTCGGCCGCTACGGCTGCGAATTTCATTCTCCCCTCTATACCGGTCTATATCCAAACCAGTGGTCTGATTTTCCGGTACGTATGTACCGGCCGATATTTAGAGCTATGAGCCAGCCATGAATCAACCCTCATGGGGAAGGATAAATGTTGTCTTATGTGGAGATGCTCCCTCAAAAGTGCAGCCACTTTTGCATGCTAAATCTGAATTTTTCTCACCTTTGAGTGTAGGAATGGGCCATCATGAGTATGCCATATGGGATAGACAACCCACCAATAACCATTCACGCATACCTTCTCTTACCAACCCCTTGCCCAAGTTTCCCTCCCATTTTAGTCTATATAGGAAAAACAAAATCCTCCAGCATAGAACATGAAAGTTTCGGCTGGAACAAGAGGGAGTGAGGGAGAGAAAGCAAGAGGGAAAGGAGAATAGAGAGGGGAAGAAAGGCTCAACACTTGAGGTTTTTTTTTTTTTTTTTTACTTCATTGAGGTAAGAATACATCATCTCTATCCTCCCTTAGATACCTCTAACTGAATTTATATAATTTATATATACAAGACTAAGCATGGTTATGTCATATATAGCAAAATAGTACCATGCATGCTTAAAATTTTGAATAGGATGAGGGTTTCATTATGTATTAATTTCATATTCCTTCTTACAAATATAGATATGTGGCTTAGCTACTGTTTTTATGTGTTCAATATTCTCCATTGTTGAAATAATCTTGCAAAAGAGTAAAATGAGATGAGAATGGCTTCCCTGAAACTTAGATTCTTCCTCACTATTTCAAACTTTATTAGATGAAAAGAGGCTGTAATAAATTGAAAATAATTGATGTTAAAAATCTGTGTATACTGGAAGTATATATAAGTGTTATACACAGTGTAAAATTTTTATAAAATCATTGGACACCATTTTCTTACCGAAACAAATATTTTGCCTAAGCGTCGCTTACAACACTGCAGAAGTAGTGGCTTCAAACAGGTCCCATTTTCTCTACAAATGATATTTTCCTGCACGACCACTTGGAAAAGTTATATTTTTAAGTTACCTTTCAAACACCGCTAGTTTCATAATTGTTTATTAAGTATTGAGAGAGAAACGCCAATTTTTCCAAAATGTGACAGAATCTGTCCATTTTTCTTATAAAAATTATTTGACCACCTTCGACTAGTTTTTAGTCTTCACACTCTTCTGGAAATATGTTCTAAACTCAAAAATTTAGCAAACCGTTCTAACCATGCCTCTTTGTGACACCGTTTGAGGACCCTTTTTATTTTTCGAACAAAGAACACCTGTGCTGACGTTTTCATGGCCTGAATATATTTTTACTTCATTTGCTGTTTGGAGGCAGCAGAAATGCTGACTTTACTAGGTCACCGTTTATTCCACAAAATAAATTTTCAAGTGATTCAAATAGGAAAAGTTAGATTTTTAAGTTACCTTTCAAAGGCCGCTGGTTTCATAATTTTTTTATTAAGTATTGAGAGAGAAACGCCAATTTTTTCAAAATGTGACAGAATCTGTCCAATTTTCTTAGAAAAATTATTTGACCATCTTCTGTTGATTTTCAGTCTTCGAATCCTTCTGGAAATATGTTCTAAACTCAAGTATCTAACAAGCCGTTCTAACCATACCTTCTTTTGACACCGTTTGAGGCCGCTTTTATTTTTCCAACACAGATTACCTGTGCTGGAAGTATTATAACTCACTATCCCAGAAAAACCAGCTTTCTTCCAAAATTTATTTCTCCTTTTAAAAATCGTTTTTAGCTCTGGTATTCCTCTCGGAATATTTTCCTAACTCAATGAACTAGCACTAGTTAAAATATCGTAATGGTTGAACATCGTTTGGTATGGGTTTCATATTTTGTTTTACCATATAGTGCTGAAAGAAGTAGTGTGTGAATTCCTAAGAAATTTTATGATAATTCCTAAGCCATTCTATCATATTTATTTTGGTTGTCATACACGATTGTGTTGTGCTATATAAACATTATGTCACTGTAGTTTTCAAACTAAAACTTGTACATGCATCAAAATGTGAATTGGACAAAGTAAAGGGACACGGAATCAAACAAATACATTAAAATTTAAAAGTGATGGGGTGAGTCCGGTTTAGAATTTTGTGCAAGTGAGTTGCGAACCCTAGCATGGCACGGGAAGGTATTTCGGCTCTTATCGGTACAGGCGATATATGGTTGGTGGTGCGGGTGTCACAACATAGACCGTTCCCTTGGGGCAGACCGTGATGTCACGACTCGGGTACATAACCCTGGTGCGTGGGCATCATTGGTAGTTACAGTAAGTAACATTTGAATATTTGACCAAGGGGGAGTCAGAATTGCTCGTGGCCATTGTTTAGCGGTTAAGTGGAAATAGTGCTCCGCGGGGAGTTACTTAAACTTACCTGTTAAACTAAATGTATCTGAACTTAAAAAAAAAAAAAAAGGTTGCCATTTTTCCTTTTTATGAAATTCTGCTTCCGCATACCATTGTTTTTATTGTCTATTGTTAATATTTTAACCAATAGCATTCCGGTTATGTTTGTTAAATGCTGCTTATTATTCTGTTATTACACAATATTTATTATTTGTGAGTATCATCATCGGGGTGGGTATTTCGGGTGGTAGTATCTTATTGAGCGCATCGCTCATTGACATTCCCATTGCCCTGGCGTTTTATGCCAGGTATCGAAGAAACCGAAGGAAGCGTCGAGGCCTTGCAAGGCGACATTCAGCCTTGGTCGGCGACATTCAGCCTTGGTCAGCTTGAAGAATGCCCGAGATTCCATGAACCATTTTCCTAGTTTTATTTTTTTTATTTGTGTTTTTTTTTTTTAAGACTAAGTTTTAAGTTTATTTGGAGTTGTAACTTAAGAACTTTTAATTTATGGGATATTAATTGATAGAATTTGGTAAAACTTGGTGGCAACATTAAGGAGGAGTACTTAATTAAGAAAATTAAATTTTAAGTTCTAAATCTTATTATGATATCCTTAAATTTTGGGGCGTCACACAATAGACGAATACCCACTAGACTAAAAGGTAAATTCTATAGAACGGCTATTAGATTAGCAATATTGTATGGAATGGAGTGTTGGGAAACCAAGAAACAACATGTCGATAAGATGAGTGTTGTTGAGATGAGGATGCTAAGGTGGATGTGTGGCAAAACTAGACAAGACAGAATTAGGAATGAGTGTTTTCGGGAATGCATAGGAGTAGCACCGACAGAAGATAAGTTGAGAGAGAATAGATTGAGATGGTTTGGTCATATTCAACGGAGACCAATAAAGGTAGTTGTGAAGAGATGCGATGCAGTGACGGTAAATAAAAGTGTTAGAGGACGGGGTAGGCCTAGATTAACATTGGCTAGCGTTGTAAATAGAGATATGGATCTACTTAATTTGACTAACGAAATGGCCTTTGATAGAGTCGCGTGGAGAAGGAGGATTCATGCAACCGACCCCATTTGATGGGACATAAGGCTTGGTTTGGTTTGGTATGGTTTAGATAGATATAAATTTGAACAGATAGGTGTAAAAATTCAACAATAAATTTCAACAAATAGCAAAAAATTGAACAGTAAAGGAAAAAATTGAATAGATAGAAAATAATTTGAACAAATAGATATAAATTTGAACAGATAGTAAAAAAAAGTCAACAAATAAATTAAGAGACAAAATTGGAAACAAAATGTCCTTCAAAATAATAAAAATGACTGTAGCACGTCCGCGAGGGACCCCGTGCTACAGCTCGGACTCGATTTGTGTCACAGTTCTTAATCTGAACCAAAGAGTCCAAATCCGGCAAATCGTTTTGAGAAACAGATTTTTTGAAAAGAAGTGCCAAACATGGACTGCTTTGCCAGATACAGAGTCACCACCTAAATATTTTAAAATGGGGGAATTTAGGAAACCCTGACTCGGTGCCAAAGGCCACGTGTCCGTCATTGCCAAAGTTGCCTCGGCTCGGGAGATTGGGTATGATTGGGGAAGGTCAGCT